TGTTTAAAGCTGTTCAGTGAGTTTTACTGTATCACATTGTCTGATCCTCCTGTACATTTAACTGCAGATGTCCAGTGATGACGCAGTGAAGCGAGTGCTTAAAGGAGAAAAAGTGGACATTAAAACCAAAGCCAGTACCTCTAGGTCCCAGGACAAGGAGAATAGGGAGGGACGGGAACATCATGTGGATAGAGAGGTGAGTCTTCAACCCATTAAATGCCATCCATTAAATAATCTAACACTTTCAGACATATTAATGTTTCTTCAGATGTCCTCAGAATGCATATTTTAACGTTCACACCAAAATACTGCAAATAATTTTTTTGTAGCACACCTCAGACACTGTTTTATATCTACATTTTTCAATAGGATTTAAAAAATGATTAGGCCTACTGTGAACTGCATGATGTATAACTGTTAATATATTATTTCAGGAGAAGAAGAAGATCACAGAGCGCAGCAGCAGCCGGGACCAGAAAGACCCAGACCAGCCCAAAGAACAGGAGAGCCGACGCAGAGATGGAGAGAAAGAGCACCATCGTGACAGAGAGCGCTCGGAAAAACACCATCGCAGCGAACAGGACCGCCATGCAAAAGACCGTGACAAGGACAAGAGTCGAGACCGGGAACGAGACAAAGACAAAGGACGAGTCAGGGACAGAGACAGAGAGAGAGATCGAGACAGGGAAAAGGACAAAGAGAGAGACAGAGAAAAGACAAGAGAGCGAGATTCTCACAGAGAGAGAGACAAGGAAAAACGAAGAGATCGAGACAGAGAAAAAGAAAGAGAACGACACAAAGATGGGGATGAGAGGAAGAGAAGTGGAGAGAGCGAAAACAGCAAGGTATGTTTGCATCAAGGACAGCACACGTTTCCCTTTTTCAGTCACCGTTTCAGCTTATCTCCCACTTGAATAACTCTTAACAGGTGCATGTATAGCACATGTTAAATATACAGCGTGTGACTGAACAAATACATGAAAAACAACAGAATGTAGTTCTTACAGTGTTTGTGTGTGCATTCAGGTCCGAATATCAGAGGAACAGCAAAAACCATCCCCTGAAGAGCCCATTAAAACAGCCAAACCTGCACCAGCGGTAAGTTCTGTATTTTCAGATATCTGACAAATCAAATCATTTCTGAGTTTCACAGACATTAATGACAGAGAGGTGCAGTGGTTTCATTTGCTTACGCTTGAATTATTAATCCTGACACATCACACGGGCTCATGAACTATTCTAATTTCTTTTCTGAATTTTTTTGCCTCTTATTCTTGCAAGGAACCAAATCCAGCTGAAGAGGTATTACTGCAGACGATTTAGGTTTTGAATGTAGTGGGTGGCTAGCTGCGTGGTTAAAGACTACTTCAGGCTGTAGTGTGGCAGATGGTGTTCCCTCACTCAGTGTGTAACTGATACATGTGATGATTGTGTGACTTGTATTCTTTGTCTTCACAGCTCACAGAAGCAGCTGAGAACCAGGTAAAAACTCACTGAAAAAGGTCTCAGTGGGATTTCTTC